TTAGCTGTTCAAATGAGGCGAACTCATTGTCTATATAAAGATCATTTAGAGAAGTTATTCCCTTTAAACTCCAAGTATTGAAAACAGAGTCTACTAGTGAAGGAGCAAACAATTATTGTTGTTGTTGTTGTTGTTTCATTTTGCAGATGTTCAAGTAGGCTACACACACTGATAAATTGGCAGATTTCCTTAATTCTGGGTGATTGGCATGTACACGAGAAACCAAAATGACTTTGGTAAAAATGAACTTCACAGATAAAAAGGTACTTAAGAGTCAGAAAACTGTCCACAATAAYTGGGAAAGTAAAAGAACTTTCATGCACACTAAGAAAAGAAGTGTTGAATTTACTTAATCAATATAGTTCCACTTTTCTTTTAAAGAAAATATGAAAAAATGTTTTGTGTTTACTTAGTTATTATGTATAACTTGGTTAAGTAAATTCAACACTGCGTTTTTTTTTTCATGATGAGTTTGGTCATATTTATATTTTTAACGTGTAAGTAAAAGTAAAACTATAATTTTTAGGTTTTGAATGCAATGAAATAAAGTAAAAAAGGTATAAAAATAAATCTTTAAAAATGTACTTAAGTGCTGTAGCAAAGTAWATGTACTTAGTTATRCACCTCTGGMATTTTCATRTATATTTTTGAAATATAKGAATCTCCTTTTGGAGCATGTTTTTGTTGCCACACTTGACCTACAGCAATTGCTTGATCTGTTAGTATAGTAGGAAGTGGGTACTGGTACCAGAAATAACTAAATACTTTGAATATCTCTTGGCTTGCTCGGTTCATGTGGTGAGTACAGATGAGAAGAAACCTTTCAAAATGAACCAAAACACTAAACAACAATGAAAGCATTATATTTTATTGGTAAATGCTTACTATTGTGTTAATCAAAATCATGTTAAAATAAATCTGTCGCAATTACAAAATTAAATTAAACCCCAGACCTCTTGCTCAATTCAAGTCTCACTGACTGTGGCACTGGGCTGGAAACAATAATGTGACTTGTACAGAAGCGTTGATTGTCTATCTAAAAAAGGAACTGAAAAAAAAAAAAAACTTAAATAGAAGCCGCTTTTTTTTTTTTGCACAAACGATTACACTACAATACTTCAACTGATTAAACAGTTCACAGCTGATGCGCTTTTTAAGACTTTGTTTCCAATATGATGGCCCAYTGTCATGAAAGGTGAGTGTGGTTACTGGTGTTTGCATATTCTTGCCTGTCTGTTAGCAAAATATCTCAAAACCAGGAGATAGATTTTCAGAACGTTTACAGTGTTCACAACTGAAGTCAACCAGATTCAATAAGGCCTGACATATTCAAAGGACCTGAATAAACAGAAAAATGGTGGCAACTAATTACATTTTATTGAATTAAAATTTGCTGTGGTAGTAGCTTGGGGTCCTCTCCATAACATACTTCTAGCATCAACAGATCTGAACTTTGGCTTACATACTAACCAATGCACATTACTTCAATATTATCTAGTATGTGTGTGTGAATGACGACAGTGTAAAGCGATTTGGGGTCCCTATGGGGCTTGATAATGTGCTAAACCAGTTCAGTCCATTTACCATCATTATGAAGCACTAAATTTAAGACTTTTGAGAAATCTGAGAAATGTAAAAAAGACGAAATACTAACGGTGATAAAGCTGTTGAATATATCAGTTCAGTTCACCAGGAGTTGATTAAACATTTTGGCTGAGTTGATAGTGATCAGGTGAACTAACAAGTCTTGTAAGGGTAGTAAGATATATTTCTTGACACTGTGCAGATGGTGGCTGTAAAACTGATGTGTTTACAGCCAGTATGTCCCTTTCACATATCCATACCTTCTTTGAACGTTAAAATACTTACAGGTAAACCTGGATCGTTCTCAGGTGTCACACAACACTCATAAACAGCTTTGATTGTGATTGGGAAACAACAAGGAAAATCGTTCAGAAACTTGACAACAGCTCTTGAAAAACAACACCATTCACATGATTTGGTCAAACAGAGGGCTGGTCAGAGTTCAGTCTGTTTTGTTGACTTTCATTTCCACGTGAAGCTTGCTGACTTAAAAAAAACGGTTTGTGAAAATGGGGAAATTAAACAATGTGACAATGACAGAGGTCAAAAATACATAATTGCTTTAACAGAAGTTACCTCTAAAGACTGCAGGGCGTTTTTGATATTTTAATTGCTAGTTTAAAGTAGTTAGGTCTTAGCTTGGATTTTGACCAAACATGAAACTGACCATYCGGTTAGAGATAAGCCACATCATTCACACAAATTAAACATGGGTCTTTGCATTAAGATGTAATAAAGAAAGAAAAAAATTAACAAGATATATAAACACCTTATTACAAGATATTGTTAAATGATTGTTGCACATTTTATATATATCTAAACCAAAACAAACACTGTATAGCCTCAAGCCATTTCCTTATTGTGACCTTATTTTTTCCACTTTAAATGTTCTTTCTTTATTTACGTATTTATTTGTGTCTTTTTATTTTCTCAGTCGTGTTCACAGAGGTTTGAGCTACATATTCACCTTCACCATTAGGTGGCCTCAGATGAGTAATTAATGCCAGTGGACTCCTCACCAACACTACATTCTCCTGGTACATGTCGTTGTTGCTGCATTCAAATACTCCCCGTGCACACCATCAACGTAATTAAAAAATTTGTAAATACGTCTTTAAAAATACTATTTTGTATATTTTTTGCACCTAATGAAAGGAAGTAATTTGTGTCGTTGGTTTTAGATCAGTTGACGCTTAAAGTTGAGTGTTGTTAAGGGAATATTCTGGCGTCGCTGAAATTTCCCCACTTTTTTTGTTGGCTTTGAAAGCAGCATCGGTGACGGCTTCTTCAGTCATACCGCCGCCTACCCATGAAAACACCAGGCTCACTGAGGAGTCCTGCCACACTACGGTGATAACCCGAGCAATTAYTCGAGTCCTTCAGCATTCCCCCGGTGAGGTTTTTATTTCACAGGTATGTTTCTTACTTTTTAGTTCATTTTAATGGTATCTAGCTATCGGCTAACTCCTCTCTTCGCTCTGTCTTGTCATATTGATTCAAGAAGTGTCAAGAAGGTAGCTGATCATCTGATAGTTATTGAGGTAACTACGCTGTAACTCTTGAAATATCGTATCCTGTTCAAAGCCTTTTTGTCGTGTGCGCCATCATCACATATGAGCGTCACATTCAAACGTAGCATTAGCAGCAGATATTGCTCACTCCCACTCTCTCTGGCCTTGTGGTGGGATATTTTAACAGCTGTCGAGAAAAAAAAACATCTCTCGTTATCCTTAATCCAGATTCAACGTGACTCACGGAGGCCACAACCCGAACCTTAACCCGAGAAAACCCACCGAAGATTTGCTTTCAGTTATATTTAGGTTTTATCGCACGGTTCCGCTACAAATAAATGGCAAACAAATACCCTAAAACCGTGTTGTGAGCACAGGGCATTTTTAGCTAGCACAGGCTAGCTGAACGTAGTCTTCAAGACGCAAGCTTTAGCTTGGCTTTTTTATTTTTAGGCGGACAGGCTTTAGCTCCTAAGCCAAGTAATACAGAGRCATGTGTATGAAATACACTACGTTAAATCGTGTTTTTAAAATGTATTTAATCCAAACCTACAGGTGTGTAAGCACTCATAATAATTGTATCTCAGATTACTACTAAAAGTGTAATTATGTGCATGTGTTCTTGATGGTTAAACAATCGTGTTAATAATTTGAGTGTACAATTTCTACCTTCTAAATCAACAGTGTTCACAATATTAAAGAAATATTTTATTGCATTTTTAAAAACAATTTAAACCTGGGATTTTAAGCTGTACATAAATAGGATATTTGAGCTATCTGCTCAAAAGATTGAGTAGTATGAACCGGCTGTTTGCACCACTTTGTGTGTCAGAGTAATTTGGGTTTTGCCAACTGTACATTTTGAATATGCAAAATGTTTTTTTTTTGGTCAAGATGTTTGTACGTTATTCTAGTCAAAACAAACACTTAAGAATTCATTAAAGTTGATTGCATTTTAGTTGCTGAATACATTTAAAAGTGGTCAGCAAGAGTTGAATCCATGTCAGCTGTTTGATTTTGATTAGGACAGAAAACCTTGAGGGCAAGCTGCAAGTGGTCATTTGTTAATAAAATAAATTGCAGGAAAATGAGAGAATGTTGGACCTAGTAATCCCAAAAGTTGTAAGAATTAAAGTTGTTCACTATCGCACTAAGTAGCATTAAAGCCGTTAAGATTTGGTGCGATGACGTACTTTTGTGGTGCGATTTTTGCTGCATCAAGGAGTTTTACAGTCTGGCATCTATTAAACTTCGTACAGCGGGACACATTATTGAGAATTTTGACACTCGAGCTTTTCACAATGTGATATGTAACGATAGTTTACGATGGGCTGAGAATCACACAGTGGCTACGTTCACACTGCAGGCAAATCCGACCCAAATCCGATTTTTTTGACCCATCTGACTCATATCCGATTTTTTTACGACAGTCTGAACGAGACAAATCCGATTTTTTCAAATCCGACCCAGGCCGTTTCAGTATGTGGTTTTAAATCAGATATATATCTGATGTTTTCAAAGTGACTGCAGTGTGAACGCTCATGTCACATTACATCTGACTTTTTCATCAGGAGGAGGGGGTGAAGGATCGATAAGACGCTAACCTCAAGTCTCGCTGTTTAAATCTGCAGCTCCGTGTGTTTACAGCTCCAAAACACAAGTCCAGTCGCTTCATCTTTTTACTTTTCATTAGTATGATAATAACGATGTCCAGCCTGGGTCGCGGAGAGTATCGATCCTAAAGTTAGATACTCGGTCGATACTTTTTTCCAGCTCGTAGTTTCGTAAAAAAAAAGCTTCACTGGAGCATCCCGGTCAGAGGCAGGTTTAGATATAAACACTGAACTAAAGAAGCAGGTCAGATAATTATTTAATCGGCTCTGATTAAACAACTACTTCCGATTCAATGCGTAAAATGTAGCATCCATGCTAGCTCTGTAAACAAACAAGCCGGCTGATGAGATGTCACGTCTTTTACTGCGCATGCGTGTCACATCATTGCTGTGTAGCGTTCACACAGGGGTCTGATACAGGTCACATTTAAAATGTAATGTGAACGTTGCAACTTGTCATGTAAATAACCTCGCATATTGAAAGTACATCTAGACTGTTTCTTTTCTTTAGTCAAATTACATTTGACGTTACTTTTCTATTTATTGTTCACCCCCCCACCACCTTTTTTAAAGGCACTTTGTTTCAACAAGGTTTTCCACAAACCCAGTACTTTTTTTATTTTCGAGGAAAATGAAGGAAAAAGAAAATCATCACAGACAACTTTTTAGTCTTTATAAAAAATATTGCAAATAATTACATTGACGTCATTAGAAAGATGTGATGCATGTAATGTCCCATCATTATTTTAGACTTGTACACATTTATTCATAAATCAGTCAAAAAAAAAAAAACACAGTGATCGAAAGAAAGAGGGGACTGTCTGTCCAAAAAAAACCAAACAAAAGTGGCGAGAAAGCAACTCTACACAAGGACAAACCTTGTGTTTCAGCAGTCTGTTTCAGGAGGGTGAAATGTTAAAAGGGGTTATTGTTGTCACTGTATATAGCCTTGTTGTTCACCCTGCCCTGGTGCCAACRCACATCATGTCAGACCAGAAAGTAAGTAAAAGGAAGCGTTGACAAGCATGGCGCAATTTGGTGGAAACAGTGAGCTTATGTACACCGCTATAAGCTATGATTCAGATTTGTCCCTTGACAACCACCRTATTGACCAAACATTACCATAGTAATCTCTAAACACATTCTGACTTCCGGGGAAAAAAAAATACCGTTATGTGTCATCATGTTCAATAGATATTAACTAAGTTCTTACTTTACTAGGTAACAGGTCTTTCAAAAGCTTTATGACTTGAAATTCACATTTAGGTGAGGTTTTTAATCTAAAATTCTAGTTTAGCCTCATTGTCCTTGTATGTTTTACTGCAATCCACGTGTTTTATTTGTGACTTTGAATGCATCCTCGCAGAAATAAGTTCAGCCTAAATGTGCTGCATGTCTGTAAGTTAGTAGGACTCGGGATTAGCTGATTTTAGGTCCCTTGGTTTTGATCTTTGCAGGTATCTTAACCATTTATAAAAGGAGATTATGGTAGTTTTTAATCTTTCTTTTAATCGAAAGTATGCATGTTTGCTTGACCTTGCCTCACGAAGTGCTAAGCTTTAACTTCCCTACTTTTATTTTAAATGTCTACAGATTCACAATAAATTACCTCATAGTTTCCCACATACTGGTTAAAACAAACGGTCTCATATTAAACCCAATTGTTTTGAGCTGTTTTGCTTTGGTCACTGATCACTAATTTCATCAACATTTGATCACAGACTTCCCTCCAGCATAGCGGCGTGCAATGTTTTTTTTTTCCATAGTGTTTCTGCCATAATTAGAAACAGATGTACGTAGTTTTACTGCGAGTCACATGTTGTCCCAGATTCTTGAGGCCTACAACAGCTTTTGCAAACCTATGCTATGTGCTTTGGTATAACCTTTTTTATTTTTCTAGTATGAGATAGTAAAAATTGACTAAAAGTTTACTAACAGTGGTACAGAGTCTATAAGTAGTGTCATGTCACCTAGCATAGATTTGAATAGTTTTAAAAATTCTTTAAGAAACCAGTATTGTGGCTATGAATGTCTTTTCAAGGTAATGTTTAAAATATTTTATTGCCTGTCATTTTAAGCAATGGTAATGCTTCCTAGAAAAAGTAAATGGTTTAGAGAGTTTTAGACTGAACTGAGAGGAAAATGTGTGCAAGGTTATTTAAAGTTTATAAAACTCTATTGACAATAATTTAAATGAGTCACTAACTTGTGGGGGGATTCATTTTCTACTTGTTTGAAAATGAACCTTTTTATATAGTTTAGGGTTATCAAAAGGGTGCATTGGTAGGATTTTTTTTTTAATATGGCAGAAAAACTTTAGGTTTTGTCAAAGACTCCCATAACCCATAAGCCTATGTGTCAGGAAAAAGTCAACAATTAATGCTTTGTCTTCTGTATTTTAAAAGGTTAGCACTCACTTTAAGTTTGCAATGAAACGTTTTTTTACTGAGTAATTTCAAACCATGATTGTTCAACCATCAACAGGTTTCTTGTTTTGCATAGTTTTAACAGATGGTAGTAGCAGATTTGATAAGAAACATCTCCTCTGTAATACTTTGTGTCACATCCATGATTAGTTGTAACATTAGACTTTATTTAATAAACATGTATTTTAACTGTAAAATAAAGACTGTAAAAATACGGTAGGATGTTCAGTTTTTATCATTTTTAAACTAAAAGTTTAGCAGTTTAGCTTGTTTGTYGCGCTAGCGCAGAGCTAATACATGTAAGGCAATATAGCGTCGGCGCTAGCGCGAAGTCTAATAGGCTAAGCTGAGGTTCTTCTTCCATGAAGCAGCTCTGTTGTCCTCCATCCATGTTTTCAGTTACAGTCTGAGTCATTTCTACCTTCTCCTCTCTGTCAACGCTCTCTGGGTTCATTTAAAAGAGTCGATCATCAGATATTGTCCAAGATTAACCTTCAAGGTGGATATAGCTCGCTCACACCGAGGACCTATCCACATCATCATTTACCCAGAATGCTTTATATGTAAATAAAATGGCTCAGTCCGTGTTAATTTTTTTAAATGATAAGAACTAAACATCCTACAGTATTTTTAGAGTCTTTATTTTACAGTTAAAATACATGTTTATCAAATAAAGCTTAATGTTGCAACTAATCAGGGATCCCTTTAAAGTTTTGTAGGGGAAGTGGGTGTCTTTTTACCAATGGTACATGCAGAGTCATTGTTAAACTAAGACTTGTGTACGACTTCTTGATAACTTTTGAGAAAAGAAGAAGTGGTGTTTCCTGCTGACACTTGCCCTGTGTGCTATGTCAGACCTCCAGGTTATTTTTTTYCCCCTCCAAAGACAGTAGTGTTCAGTTTGCAGAGAAGTTAGGAATGTTTTGTAGTTTATTTGGCCATTCTGATCAAACACATTGCTCTGTAATTTACCAAACTGACTAGCTATAAT